ACGTGCATTGCTAGATGTTTCTGCCCAGGGGAATGTGGGAAAGAAATGCCAGGGTAGTAGTGGAAAATTTGCATGCCATCTGTGAGGCATGGGATACGGTAAAAGGGGAGGTCTGGAGCTGCGTAATATGTCTTTGGCATTGGGCTTTAAAATGGGCAGCCTCCTGCTTTAAAAACAAACAACTTATTGTTTACATGAAGGCATGGCAAGCAAGTGTAGGCGGGAGGTGGGTTGGCCTCGTGCCTGGCCCTGCTAGTTACCCTTTTATGAATGAGTGTAGTTATGTTGAATATGGCAGGTCATCCAGACTCCAGAGTTGCTCCTATGCCACAGATGCTAGAACTAGAATAGCAGCAGATCCTAAACTGCATGCCAAAAAATTGGATATTATATCCTGTCTTTGTTTTTCCTCCCTTCCAAAAATTCTTTTCAGTCTTTTCCAGTGCAGGTTCTGGTGGTTGGGAGCAGGGAGACTGGGTTTAATTTGTTCGTCTTGGGTTCAACGCATAGTTGTTGTTAATAAACCACATCTTTCAGCTGCTTATGGTAGTCTGAAACTAAAGAATTATTCAGTTACCTTTTGATTAACCATTTGTGTGCCTAGTTAAGAACCAAGCCTTTTCTTTAATTCAGGTGTAATTTTATTGAAGCCAGTGCAGATACAGGGAGGGATGTAAGGAGTATCAGGCCCAGAAGTGAGTGAGTGACTTTATCTTAGCTGCAACACCCATTTCCTGTAGCTGCATCAGGGCTAAATCTGGCACTGCATACGACCTGTCATTCCTGTTGATGCGTCTCCTTTGCATTACTTTATTAAGGTAATATACAATTTATAAAGAGTTTAACAAGTGTCTTTTGTTTGACAGAAGCCTTGAAGAATTTTAAATTAAAAATTTAGGCTGTGGTTCTGACATGCATCACTGTTTCTCTTTCCTGTCTTACTTTTTAAGGCTTGTGTGGACGTAAGAGCAAGCAGTGTATTTTGGCAGCAGATGGAATTAGCAGAAACCATTCAAGGGCAGCCTAAATTACCAGAATGGCTCTCCACACACCCTTCTCATGAAAACAGAGCTGAACACTTAGACCGGCTTATTCCAGAGGTAAGCAGAGATTGCAACTTTTTTCTACAGAAGGCTGCTATAGTTTAGTGTTGATTCATGAGCTAATTTTTAGTATTGCATTTATCTTGCTCTCTATCTTTGCAAAAAACTTTCCTTTTTAAAATACCAACCTGCTCAGAGCCTGTATTAAGTGAAGAGAAATTAAACCAGTATAGGTAAAATGTAATTATTCTCTGGACTTCCTAGATTTTAATTAAGATGTAAGATTTTTAATTTGTTAATTGCATTCTTTTTAATCAATACTGGCTTGATAAAGTAACACTGAGCTTCTGTGACCATTACCCCTGTTCTGCAAACCAGAATTGGCATTGGGACCCTAAATTATTTTCTCTTTGCTTCCTGGCCCACTTGCCTTAGGTTATCATGCCATGCCTTCTTGCTTTCTCTTACTGATGTGGTACTGAACATATCTTGAAGAGCTTTCCTTCAGAAGGATCTCAGATTCCCCAGTAGAAGGTTTCTTAATAGTCCTAGTAATTATGGGCCTCTGTAGATTTTGTAGGCTGCTTTTATCTTTCCATTTCTCTGGCTGTTCCATTGCACGAGAGAGCAAATTCTACCTGACTAATGAAAAGGAGCTAATTCACACAACTGCCTGTCCATCTGCAGCCTTGTCTTTTGTTCTTTCTTTCAAATGCCCACTAAAGAATGCCAAGTGAGTAACTGGGAATCTTTAATTTGCTCAGTTGCCTATTGGTAGCCAAAGCAAAAATCAAACACTATACAACTGGATGACTGGAAGATAGCTAATGTGGTCCCCATCTTCAAAAAAGGGAAGAGAGAGGACCCGGGCAACTATAGGCCCGTCAGTCTTACCTCTGTTCTTGGGAAACTCTTTGAGAAGATCCTCAAGGAGCACATCTGTGATGGGCCGGCTTCAGGGATGATGCTCAAGGGCAACCAGCACGGTTTCATTAGGGGCAGGTCATGTCAGACCAACCTAATTGCCTTTTATGATCAGGTCACAAAGGCAATGGATGCAGGTGTTGCCGTGGACGTAGTCCTTCTAGACTTCAGCAAGGCCTTTGACACCGTCTCCCACCCCATCCTCATTAAAAAACTAGGC